CAGAAACACCAATCAGAAAGGATATATGCACCCCTATGTTCATAGCAGCACAATTTACAACAGCAAAGATTTGAAAACAGCCTAAGTGCCCATCAGCAGATGAGTGGATTAAAAAACTGCGGTACATCTACACAATGGAATACTATGCCGCTATAAAAAAAGAAGGAACTTTTACCATTTGCAACAGCATGGACAGAACTGGAAAGCATTATGATAAGGGAAATAAGCCAGTCGGAGAAAGATAAATGTCACATGATCTCATTTATATGTGGGATATAATGATCAACGTAAACTGATGAACAAAAATAGATCCTAAGACAAGGTAGCACTGAACAAACCATCCAACCTCAGAGAGAAGGCATGGGAGGGAGGGGTTAGCAGGGGTGGGCAAACTTTTTGACTCGAGGGCCACAATGGGTTCTTAAACTGGACCGGAGGGCCGGAACAAAAGCATGGATGGAGTGTTTGTGTGAACTAATATAAATTCAAAGTAAACATCATTACATAAAAGGGTACGGTCTCTCTTTTTTTTAGTTTTATTCATTTCAAACGGGCCGGATTCGGCCCGCGGGCGGTAGTTTGCCCACGGCTGGGTTAGAGCAGTGGTTCTCAACCTTGGCTGCACATTAGAATCACCTGGGAATCTTTTTAAAATCTTGATTTCTGGGCCTCATCCTCCGGAAATTCTGTTTCTTTGTTACTAATGTTGTGGCCCCACCCCATAACAAAGAAACAGAATTTCCAGAGGATGAAGCCCAGAAATCAGGATTTTAAAAAAGATTCCCAGGTGATTCTAATGTGCAGCCAAGGTTGAGAACCACTGGGTTAGAGATTAACCAAAGGACTTGTATGCATGCATATTAACATAACCAATGGACACAGACACTAGGGTGGTTGGGGCTTGCCCTCGGGGTGGGAGTGGCCTGAGGGGGTCACTTGGGGGGAAAAAAGAAGACAAGTAATACTTTAAACAATAAAAATAACTAAATTAATTTAAAATTAAATAAATTCCCAACAATGAAAAGCTCAGGACCAAATGGCTTAACTGGTGAATTCTACCAAATATTTAAAGAAGAATTAATGCCAGTGCTTCAGAAACTCTTCCATAAACAGTTCCTAATTTGTTTTACAAGGCCAGCAATGCCCTCATACCAAAGCTAGACAAGGACACTACAAGAAAAGAATTTAGGCCAATATCCCTGATGAACATAGGTGCAAAAATCCTCATCAATATTAGCAACCCTAAACAAAATATAAGCAACCTGAATTCAACAACCCGTTAAAAGAGTTATGCACCACAATCCACTGGAATTTAACCTTGGGATGTAAGAATGGTTCAACATATACAAATCAATAAATGTGATACACCACATTAAGTAGAATAAAGGAAAAGAAACATATAATGGTTTCGATAGATACAGAAAACACATTAGTGAAAACTAAACATCCTTTCATAATAAAAGCTACAAATAGAACTCCAGATAATAAAAGCCATACATAAAAGACATGCCCACAGAGAACATCATATTCAATGGTGAAAAGCTGAACGTTTTTCCTCTGAGATCAGGAACAAGACACGGATGCCCATTTTATTTAACAGAGTACTGGCAGTCCTAGCCAGAGAGCAATTAGGCAAGAAAAGGATAAAAAGGCATCCAAATCAGAAAGGAAGAAGTTAAATAATCTGTTTGTATCAGTGGCATTTCTATATACTAACAATATACTATCAATAAACTATTATTTAAGAAAAATCTCATTTATAATATCAAAAAGAATAAAATATTTAGAAATAAATTTAACTAAGAAGGTGAAAGATCTGTACACTGAAAAGCGTAAGACATTGATAAAAGAAATAAAAAAAATACAACTGGAAAGATAGCCTTTGTTAACAGAATAATATCATGGAAGAAATAATATTTTTAAAATGTCCATACTACCGCCCGGCTGGTGTAGCTCAGTGGCTGAGCACTGACCCAGGAAACAAAAGGCCATTGGTTAGATTCCTGGTCAGGGTACATGCCCAGGTTGCAGGCTCGATCCCTTAGGGGGGGTAGGAGGGTGCAGGAGGCAGCCCATTGATGAGGTTTCTCTCTCATGGATGTTTCTATCTCTCTATCCCTCTCCCTTTTTCTCTCTCTAAAAAAATTAATAAAAACATATTTTAGGGGGAAAAAATGTCCCCTAGCAACCTATAAATTTAACAAATTCCAGTAAAAATTTCAATGGCACTTTTTACAGTAATAGAAAAGTAATCCTATAGTTTGTATGGAACCCAAAAACCCCAAGTGGCCAGGGATATCTTGAGAAAGAACACATCTGGAGACATTCCACTTCCTGGTTTCAAACTATACTACAAAACCATAGTAATCAAAACAGTATGATACTGGCATAAAACTTTGCCCAAATATTGACAAAACAGCCCAGAAATAAACCCACGCATTTGTGGTCAACTATGTTTCACAAGAGTGCCAAGAATACACAGTGGGGAAAGGACAGTCTGCCTGACTTTGGCTGTCGTCTTGTGAATAGCTTCTCATTTGCCCATTATGTGTATCGCCTCATATCCAGTTTTTCTAGAGACCATGGTGCTTTCATTTACTATGAATTAAAGATCCTATGCAAAAAGATTAAGTAATTCATATATAAATTCTATTTGTTTAAATTCCCTCAATAACTCAAGCAATTAATATTTGCAGATAATTTTTTAAAAATTCATTCTACGAAGTACTGCCCTAGTTTTATTTTTTAATTGTAGGACATTCTATCCATACATCCTGCTTGGACTAAGTGACACCAAACCTCTTACAAATTAAATATTATTTTGACATTTGAATATAGCCAACTAGGTGATTTTTTTTCTCATATTCTCCTTCTAGCCTGAGTTTTACACCACTTGCAAACCAAAAGGAATTTTAGAGTACAAGTAAAATGAAAATTAAATATATTGTATTTTACCCACCAATTATAACATTTATAAATGCCAATGGTTTATAACCATTAAAATGACTGGGGCCCTAGCCGGTTTGGCTCAGTGGGTACAGTGTTGGCCTGCAACCAAAGGGTCCCAGGTTCAATTCTGATCAAGGGTAGGTACCTGGGTTGCAGGCTCCTCCCAGGCCCTGGTGGGGGAGTGGGGGGACTCGTGCAGGAGGCAACCAATTGATTTGTTTTGCTCACATTGATGTTTCTGTCTTTCTCTCTCTCTTCCACTCTCCCTATAAATCAATGGGAAAATATCCTTAGGTGAGGATTAACAACAACAACAACACTGATTGGGTAAAACTTCCAGAACTAAAACAGAATTTAGATTCTTTCCGACAAACCAGAGTGTCATAACTGACTTTGACATATTTAATAAAATAAAACTGATTCTCCCTCTAAATATTAAAATAATACCCGAACTAACTACAGAATACATTTAAAATAGAAAAAAATGAGTATATCTCAAAGAACAGCATTATTTACTTACAAAGTCTTATAAACATCACTATATAATTAGATAAATATTAATGACATCATAAGTTTTTCCAAACTACAAAATTTTGAACTTAAATTAGTTTATTTTTTTAATATCAAGTATTTGTGTAAACCATGCATATCTCAAACTTTTTAAAGGCAAAAAATGTATAGTACAAAATTTATATGTAAATTATTTTACAGTAACAGACTTAAAAAACTCATTTTACACAAATTAAAATAATTTTATTTACTAACAAACTGGCAAGTAATTAAGCATAGTCCCAAACATCAACTGATATAACTTATCAAAAGATAGATTTTTGTTTGTTTATAGTAAGTTTAAGAGTGCAATATTTCTTCTACTTTGAGAAGTATACACTATAAAAAAGCCATCATGTCTTTGATATATAATAGCAATGATCTAGTTTGTAATTGATATTTCATACTTTATATTAACTTCCTTTGAAATAAAAAATAGTTAACATTGCTTTTATATTTCATAAATTATATCACCTGTAAAATAAGCAAAAATTAAAACATTCTGGAATTAGAATAATATCATTTAAGATAAAATTTAAAAGAACATCTATATATATATATAATTTATATAATGCACATGTACTTGTAACATACACCTGCATTGTTTGTGTATGTGTGCGTATGTGTGTGCACACACACAGTTTTCTTACCCCTGAACTCATCTCTGTGCTTTTTGGCTGACTCTGTTGTTGCTTATGGTGTCCTGCCAGCAAACCTCCAGCAGTAAGGTTCGGAAAGCTCTGAAGATAAGCCTGTGACCCTGAGAAATTTCCTTCTGCTATTCCCACGGAGGCTGGCTGTTTCTCCTGAGTATTCCCATGCCCTGGCCCAGCTTGTCCAGCAATGTGCTGATTTGGAAAGAACGGTAATAAGCCCATTCCAGCTGTTAGAGTTGTTTGAGTTGGAATCAGATTAGATGCTGTAGGGAACCACAAATGCCAACAACTTTTGGTTAGACAAGACTTATTCATAACAGTCCTTTTGATTTTGTTAAATTATAGGCAAAATGCAAACAAACATTTTTTAATCTATTAGAGAACAGTTAAATTCAAAAGGGGAGGTTAGAAGTTGTAAATTAGCAGGTTCCTAGGAAAACAAAAACCTATAATAGGAATCATGCCTTTCTTAAACAACTTCCAGTATAGTCTCAAGAATATTACATTTTTTAATTCTAAGTTTTAATTCTTTATTTTAAAAGTTGAATGCAAAATGTACGCACTTTTTGGCATTTCAGTGGCATCAGTGCCTTTTTAAAAAATGCCCAGTCATTGTAATTTGCCTGCTTCCATATTTGAAGGAATAATTAGTCTTCAGTTTAAAAAATTCTCTGACTCTTAAAAATTGGTAAAATTAGATTAACTCTAACAATAAATTTGGTCAGCTTTCTTGCACCAGCTCCTCTCTTCCCTACTCTCCAGTTCAATGTCTTCACACTGGCAACCTGAATCGACCACGGTTGGAGTGTTTACACACAGAAATCACAAATTCTACAAATCAAGATGTTTTTACCCTAGATAACTGGTTTTTAAACATTAGCACACCACTATTTAAAACACATCAATATTTGTGAATAGATCACCAAATTTAACATGAAAGTTTTACATTTTTATTTTTAGGGCATAACAAGAAATTCTGGGAGAAAAAAAAAATCAAAGCTTGAATAGGCAAATTCTGAACCATTCCACTTTTTAAAAAAAATCTATAGATCAAAATTAAATGAAAAGAGCTAATTTTGATAACTACTTTAAGTCAAATTTATAATTTACAAACTCACTAAACAAATTTCTTAAGTTATTTTTAGTATTATGTACTTAAGAGATGGTTTTATCTCTTAGCGATATATTTATTGAACACTGAATGCAGCACATGCAAAAGAAAATGGCTTATTATTTAATCCAACACAACTAATAAACATTTGCATAAGCTTTTAGGCATACAGAATTTACTTTTTAGGACAGATCCCTATGATACCATAAAAATTTCTATACCTATATAATGATTTGCCTTTTGGCCAGTCAATACTAACAGTCAGAACTGAGTTATCTGATCACTTGACTTGCTGGTTTAATGTACAAGATATATATGTTACCCATCTATATATTTTAATTTTATTAATGGTGGCCCCTGGTCCCCCAGCATGCTCACTTCAAGCAAATTTCAGTTAATCTTCACACTGAAAGTGTCTTTCAAAATCATATTCAAGTAAGAAATCACATTAACCACCATGCTCCTATTTTTCTTTTAGTAAGAACTGTACACATTATTATTTTTCTTCTAATACTAATATGGAGATCACATTTTAAAAAATGATATCCTATATAATAAAAGCCTAATATGCTAAGTGTCCGGTCGTCCGTTCAACCAATCAAAGGGTAATATGCTAATGATATGCTAAGGCCGCTCAACCGCTTGCTGTGATGTGACTGACCACCAGGGGGCAGACAGTTGATTGGTAGACCAGTCGCTATGATGTGCATCCACCACCAGGGGGCAGACGCTCTGACCAGTAGGTTAGCTTGCTGCTGGGGTCCAGCAGATTAGGACTGAGCGAGATGGGCTGGACACAACCTGGAGCCCTCCCACATCCCCTCCCCAGCTGACCAACCTCCTGCATCCCTTCTTGGCCCTGATCGTGCACTGGTGGGAGTCCCTCAGCCTGGCCTGAGCCCTCTCACAATCCAGAACCCCTCAGGGGATGTCGGAGAGCCGGTTTCAGCACAATTCCGCAGGCCAGGCCAAGGGACCCCACTGGTGCACGAATTCAAGCCCTGGGCCTCTAGTAAATAAATAAACTTTAAATTAACAAACACCAGCTATTCTATATAATAAAAGGCTAATATGCAAATTGACCAAATGGCGAAATGACCAGTTACTATGACACACACTGACCACCAGGGGGCAGACACTCAATGCAGGAGCTGCCCCCTGGTGGCCAGTGCACTCCCACAGGGGTAGTGCCACTCAGCCAGAAGCTGGGCTCACGGCTGGCAAGCACAGCAGCAGTGGTGGGAGCTTCTCCCAACTCAGCGGCAGTCGGACATCCTCTGAGGGCTCCCAGACTGTGAGAGGGCGCAGGCCGGGCTGAAGGACCCCCACACACACACCCAAGTAAACGAATTTCATGCACCGGGCCTCTAGTTTCTTTATAAAAGCTAAGGTTTTCTTACCCAGGCAGAAATTCAATGGATGCCTGTATAATCTGTTGTCAGCCCAGTGGGCAGCAGGTCACTCTCAAATGGACCTATGTGTTTGCCTCACACTGCTGCGAACCTTTACCAAACATTAAAGCTTATCCCACAGGGAAAGTCTTATCTTGGTATGGAAACAAATCCGTCAGCAACATCAATAGTTTTCTAATATTAAAAGCAGAAAAGCCAAAAGAGCCCTGGAAATTTTAAATGACTAAAAACTCAAATTTGACCTTCCTGTAAAAAGTAGAATATAGGTAAATTATCTTTAAACCTCAAATCTGACTGTTTACTGACTTTCCAGTAAATACACATCATTTACTTTTATGTGCTTCTCCATGATGACCCAACTCTGTTTTCAAGGGAAGTGCTGACCCTATTCCTACTGCAGCCTGAAGTACCATCGCTGGGGGATCTCCAAGTAAGCCCGGTTTCTGCAAAAGAAGAAGAGAAAGTAAGACCTTTGCCAATGGCAGCAGGATTTAACTGAGTTAAGAGGCTACACAAGTGAAAATTCAATCTGTCCAATAGCCTGATTATAGGGAAAAAAAAAAGAATTCATTCCAAAAGAAAAAGTAATTCCATACTTACATTATTAGTATGAATATTCTCAAACTTCATTAATTGTTGCTGTGCCAGTGATACATGGGAGAGACTCTGAAGGAATAAATTAGAAGTATTACCCATAATTGAGCTCTGTGAAAAATGTAAAACATCAAGTTAGTTTAATTTTTAGAAGCTGCTTGTTATATAACCTAATTCATATGGTTTAATTCTCTAGCTGATCTGAGCAAAAGCAACAGCTTCTTTGTGTCTCACGTTTCAATTGCAGACAACAGCAATTAATTCTTGTAATGATATACAAGATGTGACTTTAATGTCAGCATCATTCAATCATCTATTTATTCATTTACTCATTCAACAAAGGCTTACTGAGCACTTTCTACGTGTCAGTCACTGTACTACACAGTGAGAATCACACACTATAATCGGCCCTCATGGATCTTATCGTTCCCTGAAGAAATAAGGCATTAACTAATTATAAAAACATAAATACAAATGGCAATGAGAACACGAAGGGAAAATACAAGGAGCTATGAGGACAGACAGTGGCGGAACTGAGTGAGATTGTTAAATTCAAAGGTTTTCCTGGGGAACCAACTATTGTGCAGAGATTGGAAGGCTGCAGAGAATAACTAGGCGAAATCTGGGGGAATCAGGTGATGCTGCAGTGGAGAGCATTCCAGGCAGAAGGAACAGCAGGAGCAAAGACCTAAGGAGAAGGGAACAAGGCCCTTTGAGGACCAAAGCAGGCCACTGTAGCTGAGACAGCGGTGCCCTGAGCATGGCAGCAGGTGAGCCCACCTTGGACAGGCCTTAAAGGCAAAATCAAGCATTTTGATTTTAATTCTAAAATAAAGAGAATATTGTCTATTCTCTGAATACCCTTTTTGTATCACTCTTCACACTTATTGTAATAAATTATTTGTTTATTTTCTCTACTTGTTGAAATTTTGTAAGAACAGTGGCGATCAACGTGTGTTCAATACTGTAGCCTCAATGATCAGCAGAGCGTCTAGTACATGTGAGATTCTCATTAAAACATGTTGAGTAAATGAATGAACAAAGGCCCTATAATGTACAAGGTCCTAGGTTAGATTCTAAGAATGAAAAATAAATAAAAGGAGGCCTTTCCCTTAAAAAGCTAGGTGTAGGACCAGACATTCACCCAATCTACAATCACCTGTTATGTATTAGGTTTGATTTGTAACTGGGCTCCTATATAGATGCAGCCTTAACGCTACCTGAAATTAATGTTCATCTCCAGTATTATAGCTATATATACAAACACATTTTAAAATACTTATCTGAAAAAGGTAAAACAAACTTTTACTCTAATATATGAATTATTTTTATAACATCAATTAAAATTTAAGAATAAGAGTTATTGTTCATTCATTTATTGTTTTTCTTTCTGTAAATACTCTTCTGAGTTAAGGCCACATAAGAGGACTTGTTCTGAGCTATAGTCATGCACCATATAACATTCTGGTGAATGATGGACCAAACATATGACAGTGGTAGGGAATAACAGCTCCATGCCCGAAGACCTTCCAGTGGGGAAGGATGTGGAGGTGAAAGGCTGTGATACTGGTGATCCTGAGCTAATGTGTGTTCGTGTCTTAGTTTTTAACAAAAAAATTTTTTAAAGTAAAAGTACTAAATATTTGAAATAAAAAATAGCTTAGAGAATAACGATATAAAGAGAGGAAGCATTTTTGTATAAATGTATAATGTGTGTTTTAAGCTAAATGTTTTTACAAGAGTTGAAAAGTCAAAAAAATTACGTTTAGCCCTAGCCAGTTTGGCTCAGTGGATAGAGCGTCGGCCTGTGGACTGAAGGGTCCCAGGTTCGATTGCGATCAAGGGCACATGCGTGGGTTGTGGGCTCAATCCCCAGTAGGGGATGTGCATGAGGCAGCCGATCAATGATTCTCTCTCATCATTGATGTTTCTATCTCTCTCTTCCTCTCTGAAAGCAATAAAAATATATTTAAATAAATAAAAATAAAAATTACGTTTATAAAGTAAAAAAGTAAAAGTAAGTTAAGATTTACTTATTAAAGAAAAATAATTTTTATGAATTTAATGTTGCCTGAGTGTACAGTATTTATAAAGACTATGCTAGTGTATAGCAATGTCCTTGGCCTTCACTACTCACTCACTGATTCACCCAAGCACTTTCCATTCCTGCCAGTGCCCAATATAGATGTACCAACACAGGTGAGTTCATACATGATGAAATCGCCTAACTATGCATTTCTTGGAACATATCCCTATTGTTAATCAATGAATGACTATACTGATTTAGTTACAGAAAAACGTACCACACAAAATATACCCTTCCTTACTTAATGCCTTACACACAGGAATCAATAAATATAAACGATGCTGCTTTGATTAGCTTAATTTGATCTGATGTTCTCATTATGTTTTTGTATCTTTGTTTTTAATCCTCACCTGAGGATATTTTTTCCATTGTTTTTCAGAGAAAGTGGAAAGGAGGGATGAAAAGAGGGAGGAGAGGGAGTGAGAGAGGAAGGAAGTGTGAGAGAGACACATCAATTGGTTGCTTGACTAGGGGGCAGGGAGCAAACCCACAACCTAGGTATGTGCCCTTGACCAGGCCTTGAACCCTCAACCCTTCAGTGCATGGGCCAACATTTAACCACTGACCAACACTGGCCATGGCTATATTACGTTTTTACGTACCTATACTTATGAATAAGTTTTTTTTTTTAAATACTCATTTAACTTGAGAACTTTACTTGTAAAGAACAAACAAAATATTCACTACAAATTTTTGATGTTTCAATATTCAATGCTGTTTATATACCTGATGTGCTTTATTCAAATGTAAAAATGCAGGGGAGATGGATGGATTCATCAGATGTGGCAAGCTGTGAGGTGTTCCAAGAACTGCTTTAAGAAAATAAAAGTAATTTAATTTTATGATATATATGGAATTTAAAAATAAAACTTCAAAAAGGATAAATGAATATTTCTTTAAACTTTTAACAAATTAATTGGAAGTTCACTTATATACTGACCTTTTCAGTGCACAAAAAGGACAGGATTCTTTCCATGCCGTATTTAAAATCCCCACACCTTCTGTCATAATGGTAAAACACCAAACCTAGCCTTTCTCTTCTCTAGTGCTTTAGTCCAACAAAACCAATTCCATCTTTTAACAGGTATGCTACTAGTTAAATCCACGTTATTTGCTCAGTAGTTTTGTTAGGTTTGGGGTATTTTGGCAAGGAGTGGGAGGCAAGGACTTAATACAAACTTGTCTTTGAAAACTACACAGTACAATTGTGAGGAAAATATATATACATAAAAAAGTATTTACATAATAAAGTCAAAAGAAACAACAGTTGATAAAAGGAACCGTACTCTTTATCAAAATTGTCTAAGTAAGAGCACAAATACCAGACTACATATCAGGAGATGTTTTTCACAATGAACAAAATAAATGAAGCAATTTCATTTTATTATTATACAGTAACTGGAAATAGTCATAATATACACATTTCTCTAGCAATACAACAATTAGAATGAGTGGAGATCAGATGTAAAAAGCACTTCAAAAGCATATAATCCAATGATAAAAAACATTTGGAACTTACATATATAACATCCCTACAAGTTCATCCCTTGCTATAAAAACTGTTTCAAATTTTCATTACTTATTGAGGCAGCCCATTACATTTTTGGAAAATTGACTATTAGAAAATGCTTTCTTTAGAATGAGCTAGTTTCAATGTAGGTGGTAGGAAGATTAGATCATTAGGATGAGGTGCTTAAAGAAAGACACTGTTTATTAGGAAAGATGGATAAAAAATGGTCATTTCATAATGATAAAGAGGTCAGTTCATCAAGAGGATGAAACAAGCTTAAATGTCTCTACACCAAGTAACAAAAGTTCAAAATATATAAAGCAAAAATTTATGGTTAGAAATTAAAAACTACTTCCTTTTTTCAGAGTCACTATATCTAATCTAATAAAAGAGAAACATGGTAATTAGCATACGACTGCTACCCTTCCCATTGGCTAATTAGCGAGATATGCAAATTAATCACCAGCCAAGATGGCGGTTAACCGCCAACAAAGATGGCGGTTAATTTGCATATGTAGGCACAATGCAGGGAGGCGAAAGGGAAAGCACGGAAGAAACCCCCTGCCACTGACAGTGATTGGAAACCCAGGGGGGAGCTAAGAGCCGGGGGGCAGGGGAAAGGCGGCCCTGGGTCGCGCGGTTTTGCATTATTGATAGAGGAAAGTTGGCCTCTGTGGGGGGTGTGATAGCGGGAAGGAGGGGTGGAGCCAGCGATGGGAGCTGGGCAGGGGCGGAGCCCACGATCGCGGGGTGGCTGCAGCTGCGGGTCGCCGCTGCCCGGGCCTAACGCCTCAGCCAGAGGCGTTAGACCTGGGCAGGGGCGGTGCCAGCGATCACGGGGCGACTGCAGCTGGGAGGGTCCCCTGCCCAGGCCTAACGCCTCGGCCAGAGGCATTAGGCCTGGGCAGGGGCGGTGCCAGCGATCATGGGGAACAGGGGCAGAGTCGCTGATGGTGGGAACTTGGGGTCCCCTGCCCAGGCCTAATGCCTTGGCCACAGGCGTTAGGCCTGGGAAGGGGTGGAGCAGGAGGTCCCTTGGAGAGCTGTGGGTCCCCTGCCCAGGCCTAATGCCTGGGTGAGAGGCATTAGGGCTTAGCCGTCAATCGCAGGGAGCAGGGGCCGAGTTGGTGATGGTGGGGTGCTGGGGGTCCCTTGCCCAGGCCTAATGCCTAGGCCAGAGGTGTTAGGCCTGAGCATGGGCAGAGCCAGCGATCGTGAGCAGGAGCGGTGTGGGCGATTGTAGGGAGCTGGGGGTCCCCTGCCCACCCTGATCTGGGACACCCTTCAGGGCAAACCAGCTGGCTCCCACCCGTGCACCAGGCTTCTATCCTATATAATAAAGGGTAATGGGCACATGCAATTTTTTTTTCCAAATATATTTTATTGATTTTTTACAGAGAGGAAGGGAGAGGGATAGAGAGTTAGAAACATCGATAAGAGCGAAACTTCGATCAGCTGCCTCCTGCACACCCCCTACTGGGGATGTGTACGCAACCAGAGTACATGCCCTTGACGAGAATCGAACCTGGGACCCTTCAGTCCGCAGGCCAACGCTCTATCCACTGAGCCAAACCCGTTAGGGCGGTAATGTGCAAATTGACCCTAACAGCAGAACGACTGGGAATGACTGCTCACTATGACACACACTGACCACCAGGGGGCAGACGCTCAATGCAGGAGCTGCCCCCTGGTAGTCAGTGCACTCCCACAGGGGGAGCTCTGCTCAGCCACAAGCCAGGCTGACGGCATCACAGCGGCGATGGTGGGAGCCTCTCCTGCCTCCTCAGCAGCTCTATGGATGTTCAACTGCAGCTTCGGCCCGCTGGCAAGTGGACATCCACCAAGGGATGTATCACTGCCAGCTTAGGCACAATCCCCCGGGGAGCAGGCCTAAGCCAGCAGGTGGACATCCCCCGAGGGGTCCCAGACTGCGAGAGGGCACAGGCTGGGCTGAGGGACCCCCGAGTGCACAAATTTTTGTGCACCGGGCCTCTAGTTTTTTTATAAGACAGTAAAATATATTTCACAGCTTTTAGTGAAAACAGTATTTCCCAGTTTAAAACAAGAACTAGAATCAAAACACTGAGAATGTCCACAATCTCATATCTAGCTGCTTTTACCCTAAGCTATTGGCTAGGTCTCCCACTATGCTCCATCCTTCCCTCACATAACTAACAGAATAAGTTGACAGAAAATTAGTAAAGATATAAAAGATCTGAACAGCACTACTGTTACCATAGTTAGCTAAATATTAATAAGAATAAAGCAAAAGGAATTGGACATTGCTAAACCTAATGGGCTGAGACACTGAGCCTGTTTGCTTCACTAGGAAGCTATAGCTTAACAACCCTCCCTTCCCCCGTGTAGGGAGCAGCCCACCCTCCCACCAACAATATGCACAAAGGATTATAATACAACATGACCAAGGGAGGTGTACCCTAGGAATGAAAGGTTGGCTCAATATTTTAAAAATCAATCAATGTAATTCATCATGTCAATAGATAACAACAAAACTCAATCCCGGACAGCATTTCAATTAGTGGAAAAAAGAAATAAATAAATTCCAGCAATTATCATGATATAATTTCTCAGCAATAGAGGAATAAAAGGGAGTTTTCAGCTTGGAAAACAAAACCTGTAGGGGAAAAAACACACAATAGCTTACATAATACCTAATAATAAAACAAGAATGCTTTCTTTGTAAGATGAGGAACAAGAAAAGAATGTCCACTCTCACCAGTTCAATGCACAAATTATGCTGAAATTTCTACCTATTCTATTAAAACAAGAAAAAAAATAAAAGGTATAAATATTAGAAAGAAAGGAGTAAAACTATGTTAATTTGTAGATGACATGATTGTCTATATAGAAAATCCTTAGGAAAAAAACATACTAAAAATAATAAGGTTGCAAGATACAAGATAAATATACAAAATCAACTGAACTTGCATATGCTAGCAACAAGCAATAGAAAACTGAAGTTTAAAAAGCAATCTTATTTAAAACAGAAAAAATATAAAACCCTATGAAAAAATCTGACAAAATATATGTGAGATTTGTACCCTGAAAACAAAATACTTCTGAGGGAAATGAAAGAAGAGCTAAAAAAATTCAGAGATATATACCATATTTATGACTTGGCTTCAAATTTGTCAAATCTGTCCATTCAACTCAGTATCAATCAAATTCCCAAGCAGATAATTTTTCTTAGAAATTGACAGGCTGATTCTAAAATTTATATGTAAATGCAAAGGATCTCAAGTAGACAAAAGAAATGGAAAAGGAAGAATAAAGTTGGAGGACTTACTTTAACTGATCTTGGGGCTTATTATAAAGCTACATTTATCAAGACAAAGTACTATTGGTATAAAGAAGACATTTAGATCAATGCAACAGAATACAGAGTCCAGAGGTAGAGACACAGATACAGAGTCAATTGGTTTTTGAAAAAGATACCAAAAAATTCAGTGGAAAAGGATAATCTTTTTAAACAAATGATGTTGGAACAACTGTAAAGAAAATTAACCTGGACTTTTCCCTCACACCATAAGCACAAATTAACTCAAAATGGATCACAGATCTAAAGGTAAGAGATAAAATTATAGAACTTCTTGAAGAAAACACGGGCCTTGAATACGGCAGATTTGTTAAATATGACACAAGAAGTACCAACTATAAAAGAAAAATATAATACACTGACACAAGATGCTTTGTCTTTCCTGAATACCAAGAAGCTTTTCATACATTCTCCAGAAGACTGGCATGTATTTCAGTGAGGTAGATTTAATCCTCTTCCCTTGCCACTCCACACAAAGAATTATTTCACCATGCTTGGTGGAATAATTTCTCTAACAGTGTAATGTTAAAATATATTAGTTAAAACTGTGAAAGTACAGCTAAAATAAAGAAGCATAATCAAATATGCCCATATATCCATGTGAGAAGAAAGGAGAGTAGAGAATATATATTCTTAGATCAAAAACAAAATAATGTTGGAGAGGAGTTACTAAAAATAGCCCAGAGTCCAAAGGTGTGAACAATACTTTCTAAAAGACCCAAGAGGGTGACATACTTCTTTAAACACTACTATAATCTCGGAATGCAGTCATAGAAACTTAATGATCACTGCACTTTGCGCTGATCAGATCTTATCTATAGGACATGTCCATGTCTGTGTCCACCACATTTCAGGACAACCCAGAAACCCTGGGCCTTACCTACTTGCGGAGGGGATCTAGAGAGCATACCCTGACGTGTTATGGAAAGTCAAATACAGAATTGTAGTCTCCAAAGAGGTATAAGAGGTGTAAAAAGAAAATGTTAGAACCGTTATTTATATTTACTTTCTTCTTAAGAATAAAAGTATTAAGTTTAAGATGTCTTCCTATATGGGTTGACAAGAGTGCATTTCTATATTTGACATGTATGTGATATATATACTGTATATATTGGGGCTCTGTTCAAAATTCATTTCACTGATAGGGGTCCATAATCCAAAAGTAAATAAATAAAAGGAGACCACTGGTCTGGAGAATAGAAGACAGGAAAAAAAAACAAAGATGACTAAGATTTCATGTTACTTGTCTTCAAATATTAGAAGGCTTTTCTTATGGAAAAATAGATTTATTCTGTGTTTCTTCAGAGGGAGAACTAGAATAAGTGGCTAAAGGTTGTGGGAATTGCCACCTATTATAAAGAAAAACCTTCTAGTAATTAAATTTGTCAAACCAGGGAATAGGCTGCCTTGGGAAATAGTGAGCTTCTTAGGCTTCAATTAGCCAAGACATAACAAGGCTATCTCTATACCATTAAAACTGCAGAAGAGATATCTGATTGTGTAATAGATGGAGCCAGAAAACCTCTAAAGCTGCTGCTTACACACAAATAATTGATGAGAATATGAAGTACTTAACATGAATATTGTTGTACAATGAAGAATTAACTGGTCCTCATGCCTGGTTCTTGAAAGAAAAATTCAATCTTTGGAATGTCCCCAATGACAAGAGTATCTGTGTTATGCTAATGAAGCGATTCTAGGTGGGCCCCTAAATAGTTTCAGAATAGGGGCTGGTCATACCAAAAAGACCAACCAGTGATTAGAGGGCTGGGCCTTTAAGCCATGTATTATCAGCCAGACCTCCTGACCTCCAGAGAGGAGGAGGACAGAGGATTGAGTTCAATAAGATGACAAAATATCATACCTACAAATGAAACCCCAATAAAAACCCTGGACATCGAATTTAGTTCCATAGAGATCCCTGGTTGGTGAATAGACTGAAGTGCTGGGAGAGTAATGTGCTCTGATTCCATGAAAGCTCTGTATTCAAGACCTTCCCAGACCTAGCCCTAGGTGTCCCTTCATTTGGCTGTTCCTGAGTTGTATCCTTGATAACAAAACTGTAATCGTAAGTTCTGTGAGTTGTTCTAGCAATTATCAAACCTGAGGGGTCATAGGAACACCCAAATTTGTAGTCAGTTGGTCAGAAGTACGGTGGCCTGGGGACCCCCTGAATTTGTGGCTGGAATGTGAAGTTGGGGCAGATGTGTTGGGGACTAAGCCCTTAACTTATGGGGTTTAGGTGAACTCTGGGTAGTCAGTGCTAGAAATGAACTGCAGTCCACTAGTTGGTGTTAGACCAGAGAAGGGTTAAAACTGAACAAACATATTTACTCTAAATATTTTACTCTAAAAATTAGTGTTGAATATAGGAATTCATTTCCTCAAACTGCTAAAATACACATTTGTGTATGTATAGTTGTTCATTTCAGAAGGTAAGCAAGCTCTTATCAGAGAAAGAATACTAAGTAGATATTTCGTGTATATGATAATGATTTAAGATTTCCACATTGCCTAGAAAATAATGTTTTTGTCATTTTTTACAAAATGAAACAATTTCACAAAAATAAAGTGCAAAGAGGAAACAGACCTTTAATACTTCTCAATAAAGTAATTCTGCTAAAAATATTACAAAGAATATCATATCCTTTATTGATATAGTTGATAACAATGTAGTATATTAATATCTGTTCTATAAATTCATGTCAACTGGGAGCTAAACTGAAGATTTAATATTTAACATTTGTTAATGGTTAAAAAAATTAGGAACACATAAGAAGACTGTATCCACCAAAAAGAGCCAAAACATATTATCACCTCAAATCATTAATTAAAATTCATTGAAAAGTCCTAGAAAATTAATTATTTCTAGACTAATTTAAATGTGTTTTTTTTATGTAAAACAGCACAATTAACTTCATGCCATCATTCTGAATTTAATCAGCGCACGGTGCTTACCTGGTTTAACAGCTCGCCCGCAGAGTTGGGGTTGGAGAAGAACCTGTAACATGGCAGGATTGTTTAAACTCTTCATAATTTGTACAGGATTTGGCTCTGGAAGTAAGCCCTTCTGATTACTGTGCATCTTCAATGAATACAGAAATAGGAAACATTAGAACATTAGAACAAGGGTAAGTACAAAAGATGACATTTTAAAGGCATTCTTCCAGAAATTCTCATTCATCTGATAAGATTTATTTTGTGCTTTGTATTATACCTTTGTTGTATACATTCAACCACAGTTTCGTAATTATGTTATACTCTACTACACAGCTCATACTAAAATCCTCATAGAATGTCTCAGTTAAATACAACTTAGCTTTAAGAAGACTATCAATTTAGTAAGATGAATCTCTTTACAAGTAGAAAGATGCCAAGGAGATCTGAATTTATAACAGGAAGATAACTTGTTAACAAAATATGAATGTTTTGATATCACAGAAGAGCTTCACTATAATGATCAAAAGTGTAATAATGTGGGTTGCTTTACATAACATTTTCTTATAATAAAGGTCTTGATTTCCTTAATTAATCCTCTAATAAGAGAAAAAAAGATGGACTGGCCTTACATATATGTAATTGGGTGGCTTCCTAATAACATGAAATTGTTCCTGGTTTTAAAAGCCAGCCTGATAGATAAGAATATTGGTATTTTGTTACAAAAGGAAAACTGTTAGCCATCAGAAAATGGAGAACTGACACTGACATCTGGAATCCCTCTTCAAACACTTAAAAGCATAACAGATTTTTATTGGTAACATGAAGCGAGGACAAGTAGTTACAAAGAATAACCAATAAGAAATACTGGGTATAAGAAACATGACTGTAAAAAAAAGCAGCTCTCACTTACTATATACTTGTCATTATTCCAAGTATTTTACATGGATTATAACAATCCTGCAAAACAACTCGACAGGGTTGGTATTACAAACCCTATTATATAGATGAGGATAACAAAGAAACTCATAAAGCATTATCCTTAACCTCTGTCCTGTGCTGTAAAAAATAGGTTAACAGGTTAAATAGAATACATGTGACTGAAAAACAAAATAGTGACCTGAAAGATCAGTTCAAAGAATGTTTCCAAAGACATCAACAAAGGATAAAAAAGGGGGAAAATGCAAATAAGTAAGACAAACCATGGGAATGGAAAATGCAAGCAAAACAAAAGCAAAAAACAAAGCAATGAAGAGGCTGGAAGTGCCCACCTACATAAAATAGAAATCCCTGAAGGAGAAAATAAAGAAGGAAATCTTTGAAGATATAATGGCTGAAAATTTCCCATTATTAAAAAAATTAAACATCACAGATGAAACGGGGTGCATAGTATTCCAAATCCTACATAATAAAAGGATAGTATGCAAACTGTCCCCTCGACCAGGAGTTCGTCCTGGAGTTCGACCAGGGGGTGGGGCCAGCCAGGGTAAGGGAGCAAGGCCCCGGCCTGCAGCCAACAGCCACTAGGGACCCTACCAGTGCATGAAATTCGTGCACTGGACCTCTAGTATGATATATAAGAAGAAAACACATTTAGTCACATTTTTATGTGAAATTTAAGAACATTAAAGTCAAAATAAAAACGCTAAAAGCTTTCTGTAAGAAAGAACATATTTCCAAGAAACAAGAAGTAGATTACTATCTTCTCTCAAAGCAATAGCCCTAGATTCAAGAAGGCAACAAATTAATATTTTCAAAGTGCTTCAGAAAAAGAAATTTAAATCTATTATGTTTATATCCAGCTGAGTTATTTCTTAAATATGTGAAAAAATAAGAATATTCGCAGCCATACAAATTTTCAAAAGTTTTATTCTCTGAAAATGAAAACCAAGAAGCAATAAACACAAGGCAATACTGTATAATGCATGGAAATTAAGGTATGCAATATCATCATTAATTTCAATCTTGCATACAAAAGCCAAGACCATAAAAACAAAACAAAACAAATGAAAGGAACAATGACTGACAGAATAAGGAGAAAGAAAAATCAACAACTATCTATCTATTCTATATAATAAAAGTCTAATATGCTAAGTGTCCAGTCGTCCAGTTGGCCATTGAACCAATCAAAGCGTAATATGCTAATGATATGCTAAGGTCACTCAACTGCTTGCTATGACATGCACTGACCACCAGGGGGCAGATGCTCCGACCAGTAGGTTAGCTTGCTGCTGGGGTCCGGCCGATTAGGACTGAGTGAGATGGGTCGGATATGCCCTGGAGCCCTCCCGCGGTCCCTCCCCAGCTGGCCAACCTCCCACGTCCCTCCCCGGCCCCAATCATGCATCAGTGGGGTCACGGCTGGCGAGCGCAGCGGCAGTGGCGGGAGCCTCTCCCATCTCCACAGCAGCACTAAGGATGTCTGACTGCCGGCTTAGGCCTACTTTCTGTGGGGAGCGGGCCTAAGCCGGCAGTCGGATATCCCCTGAGGGCTCTTGGACTGTGAGAGGGTGCAGGCCGGGCTGAGGGATCACCCCCTCAGTGCACGAATTCCGTGCAGTGGGTCTCTAGTATATATATCAAAGGCTAATGTGCAAAGTGTCCCCTCAGGAGTTTGACCCGGAAACTGCGAGTTCGATTGCTCGCTATAACGTGCGCTGACTACCAGGGGGTGGCACAGAACGAAGGAAGGCCCCAGCCGGCAGCTGGAAGGAAAGCCCCGATTGGCCCTGATTGCCGACCAGGCCTAGGGACCCTACCCATGCATGAATTTTGTGCACCAGGCTTCTAGTATATCATAACTTCTAATACATTCCTCTCAGACACTGACAGATCAAACAGACAAAAAAAAAAATAATTAAATATATGGAAGATCTGAGTAACAATAAGCTCAAACTAATACTTATAAGCACAAATGTGTGTAAATATAACTTTATAACCCACAAACATAAAGGACACATTGTTATGGGGTATACATGGCACAGTCACAAAAATCAACCAATGCACCAAGCCACAAAAGAAACCACGATATCCCTTTCCCCCAAATCAATATTAGAGACTACATTCTCTGACCATAATGCAACAAAGTTAGAAATTTATATCAGAAGATTAGCTTTTAAAAATTCCTAAGTGGCTATAAACTGAAAACAACAACAACAAACAAACAACTAATTAAGCTTTTAGTTTAAAAGGAACTCATAAAAATTTGAGACATTAATAATCTAAAATATTTGATACATACTTATTTAAAAGGAAACTTGCTTTAAATTCATTCATCAGAAAACATCTAGATTGAAAACAATGGCAATAACCATTGATATCAATAAAAATGGAGGGGAAAGAGTCAACCCCCAAAAACCCCAAAAACATTATAAAAATAAGGGCAGCAATATTCAAAAGACAGAAATAATGAACAAAACAAGAGCTGTTTCTTTGAAGGGATGAAATAGAGAAATCTCTTTCAATACTTATCATGAATAAAAAAGAAAATGCAAGTCAATAAAATGCACAACGAAAACAAAGAGATAGACATGACAAATTTTAAAAATAATAAATTATTAGAAAAAACTGTTGCAATAAATTTGAAAACTTAGACAAAATGAATGTTTGTAGAATGGAATCAAATGCCAAATATGGCAAAGAAAGGAAAAAATAAAATATCTAAATATTCATAGAAGTAACTTAAGTGGTAATCAATAATTTCCCTCTGGAAGAGGCTCAAAGACTAGGTCTACATGTTCTCATAGATAAGACTTCTTAAACTTTCAAACAATAGATAACCATATTTTATACAAGTTTATCCATAAATAGAAAGAAAACAGGGAGGAGAAAAAAATATTTAAATCAGTAAATGAGAGCAATGTTCTATTGATTCCAAAATTAAGTAAGGATAGCACAAAAAATTTTAAGCATTTTTCACTTATGAGCACATTTGCATATATACCAAATTAAATATTATCTAGTCAATGCATTGGAAAAAAATAATTATCAACTAAGGTTTATAGTACAAGGATGGTTTAAGATTAGAAAATCTATCAATGTGATTCTGCACATTAATAAATCTAGGGAGAAATCACATGTTATCTCAATAGTTGTGGAACTACTATGATAAAATGTAATACCTATTCATGATATTTTTTAAATCTCAGGAAACTTATTAAAGGATATGCATGAAGAAGCTATAGAAAATATCAATGTAATACATTACTTTTGAGAGAAAAATTTAAGATTTCTCACTATCGCCGAAGCCGGTTTGGCTCAGTGGATGGAGCGTCGGCCTGCGGACTGAGGGGTCCCAGGTTCGATTCCGGTCAAGGGCATGTGCCCGGGTTGCGGGCACATCCCCAGTGGGAGGTGTGCAGAAGGCAGCTGATCGATGTTTCTCTCTCATCGATGTTTCTAACTCTCTATCTCTCTCCCTTCCTCTCTGTGAAGAATCAATAAAGTATATTTAAAAAAAAAAAGATTTCTCACTATCATTGATATAATTTAAAATTTTATTTAAATTTTTTATTGACTGATTTTTAGTGAGAGAGTGGGAGGGAGCGAGGGGGTGGGAAAGTGAAAGAGAGAAACATCGATTTGTTGTTCCACTTATTTATGCATTAACTGGTTTATTCTTGTATGCGCCCTGACCAGGGATGGAATCTGCCACACTGGTGTATTGGGACAACGCTCTAACCAACTGAGTACCCAGCCAGGGCTCAGGAATTTGAAATTATGCGTCATTAATGAATGTTAAGCAAGAGAAGGACACAATCCGATTTGAGGGTAAAAAAGACCACTCTTGTAGAAGAAGGATCAAAGGGACAGACGAATTACATGGTGCTCATGCAGGGGTTATTCTAATCATCAAGGTGAGAAAAGATGAGATCCCGAGTAAAGTAACAAAGACACTAACAAGTCTCAAGGAATAAGAGATATCAGGAAGTGCAACTGAAAGAATTTGCTAATATTTTTAACATTTTTATTTGGGGAATAGATGAGGGAGACCAATCATGATTAACTAAATTTTTGGTTCAGATAGTTTTAGTTCGGATGAACTAATGCCATATGTAGATATTACAAAGCATAGAAAATCAAGTCCCAGAGAAAAAGAGGTGTTTGGAAGGAGAAATGTTGAAACTGCACTATTTATGTAACATAAAAGTGGGATGTCTAATAATCATCTGAAAATATAGATTTAGTTCTAAGAGTAATTTGGTCCAAGATATATATGCTTAGAAGTAATCATTGCCTGGCAATAACTAAAGTCATTGGAATATTTAAAAGGAAAAACTGTGAGAAGGTCAAATACAGACGTCTACTGACACTGGCCCTGAGAGAAAAAGACAGAGCAAGGGGAGGAGCCGCTAGGAAAACACTGGTGTCGCAGAATTCAAGGTGGCAGAGGGCTTTAAGTATTGCAAAGAGACCAAGCAATGATGACTAAAAAGTACCTGTGTGGCCTAAATATTAAAAAAATCCCTGTTAATCTCCCTGAGAACAGATTCACTTGAATAGTGGAGGTGAAACGGCAGTGCACTGGGCTGAGAGGGAAATGGGAAATGAGTGGGGCCTGCCTGCTCCAGACCGCCTGCTCCAGAAGCTCCGATTGGGAAGGAAAATAAGATGAAGGCCAGTATCTGGATAAAAAATGTTAAAGGAAAAGATGTGAGCAGATGGGATGGAGCTAGTGGAGCCACAAGTGAAAATAAGTAGAATGATGAGGATCAAGACCCTTGAGGACGGGGGACACGGCACGAGCCCCTGCTTTGGCAGGAGGAAGCACAGCCCTTCCTCCAGGACAGCAGGGATTGTCTGCTCTGTTCACTAAACACATCTCATAGTGCCTAGCATGTAGTAAGTGCCCAATAAGCAACTGTGGAATGAACGTTATTGAAGAGAAAAAGTAAAAAAAAAAAAAGTGGGGCACATCTGCAGGGGGAGTATGAGAAAAGTTGAAAGAATGAGTCCAACACATGACCCTGATATTTCTAAAATAAAAGCCATGATCACCTAATAGAAAGAAGGTTTGAGACGACAACTACTGTAGAAAATGTAAATGCACCACTGATGAGAGATGAGCTAAAGTTTTGCGGTGGGACCAGCTTTAAATGTCAGACATTTGTAGTCTCATCAAGACATCTAGTTGTTTTTCTCCAAGAGGACACAGCACAGAAGTAGGTATCTCTTAGGTTCAACAGAGACAATTTAACCAAAGGCAATGAAACTGATAGTGAGAGGATGACTGGAGTGATGAATTATGCAGGGAAGAATATGAAAATGACAGAAGAACCTAAAAGAAGAAGCACAAACTAAGAAAAAGGGGAGAAGGGGTCTGGGACCAGAGGTGAGGTCAAGAATAAGAAGAGGAGGGAGCGAGATATGAGACTAACAACAATCTCCCTCCCCTAACATCCTCTCTCCAGTTTATCTACAAACCACTTTCAGACTCATCTGTTGATAACGTAACTCTGCTCCTGTCACTACCTTGTTTATATACTTTATAAATTCCCCACTGCTCATCAAATGCAATCTAAATACTCTGAGTGCTCAATAGTGCTGCCTGATTTGACATCAACCATTTCACCACAGATCCCTTTATACACTCAGTCCACTAGACCAGTGGTCGGCAAACTGCGGCTCATGAGCCACATGCAGCTCTTTGGCCCCTTGAGTGTGGCTCTTCCTAAGCCTTAGGAGTACCTAATTAAGTTAATAACAATGTACCTACCTATATAGTTTAAGTTTAAAAAATTTGGCTCTCAAAAGAAATTTCAATCGTTGTACTGTTGATATTTGGCTCTGCTGACTAATGAGTTTGCCGACCACTGCACTAAACCACTTACCACTCTTAAAGCAGGCAAATTCAATTCATACTACTGCTTGAAAGGTCTGCTTCACCTAGAATTTGACCACTCTCCCTCCTTAGGGTTGCCAGATTTAGCAAGTAAAAATACAGAATGCCCAATTAAATCTGGGTTTGAGATAAACAATGAATAAATTTTTAATATAAGTATCTCACACAAAAGCTGTATTTATCTGGCAATCCTACCTTCTACCCCCATCAACACTTTTCAAACTCATACTTTAACATCACACTCAAATATTACCTTTGTCATGAAGTTTTCCCCGATTCCTTCACCTAGAAAGTGTATTCCTTCATTCAGTCAACAAATATTTACTATGCTAAATGCTAGGAGTGAAAACTGTGAAGGCCCAGCTGGTGTAGCTCAGTGGTTGAACATCAGACCTATGAACCAGGAGGTCACAGTTCGATTCCCAATCCCCAGTGGGGGGTGTCCAGGAGGCAGCCAATCAATGATTCTCTCTCATCATTGATGTTTTCTCTCTCTCTCTCCCTCTCCCTTCCTCTCTGAAATCAATAAAAATATATTTTAAAAGAACTGTGGCCCGGCCAGCATGGCTCAGTGGTTGAGCATCGACCTGTGCACCAGGAGGTCACGGTTAGATTCCTGGTCAGGGCACATGCCCAGGTTGCAGGCTCGATCCCCAGTAGGGGGCATGCAGGAGGCAGCTGATCAATGATTCTTTCATCATTGATGTTTCTCTCTCTCTCTCTCTCCCTCTCTCCCTTCCTCTCTGAAATCAATAAAAATATATTTTTTAAAAACTGTGAAGAAGGAAGTCTATCTGAATGGAACTTCAACTGCAGAAGTAGAGGGAGAATAAGGAGACAGTGACAATAGAGAGGTAGCTACGATGTGCTGTGTGAGCAAACAGGAAGCACACATCTACTATTTGTATTCTGGATACTTACGAACACTTTGGGGGAAAAAAGAGGCACATTATACTAAAAATTTAGAGCAGAACAGGAACTCAAGTATTTGTTTAATGAACTATATGCCTTACAAAAATTTCCCAAGATGAATACACTTGACAAAACAATTTCTTCTTTTGTAATGACTCTTGGCTTGATTACACAGATTCCACTCACCAATTTTTTAAAAGGAATATCTTTATATAGCAAAAAGATAATAAAGGTCCAATCAGTGGTAGTCTGGGTAGATTTTTAAAATGTTAGAATTTTTAATATGTTAATAAAGAACAACAAACTTACCACGCGTTGAGCTGCTATCAACGCGGCTAACGTGCTTCGCCCTGGGGCTCCTGGGGCGCAGAAGGAAACTTGCACTTTGCTCCCCTGGATGGTCATGCCGTCGGCGGCTTGCTGAACCTCCTCAGCATGCTCCGCAGTGCTATATTCAACCACTGCAAAGCCACCAACGTAGCTACCTTCATCCTGTGCAAGCTGAGGCAACACACTTCATTAAAAGGGAAGTCTATCATTTAGTCAGAAATCGTTCTTTACAGTATATAACTTTCAAATTCAAGAACAAATGTATCAGAGCATGATACTGGAGAGAAAGTGTGTTCTTTCAAAAAAATTACTAGTTGATTAGATGCAGTACTTCTGGAGGACAGGATAATAAACAAGATTCTGTCATTTCTTTTGAATTCTTTGATTTTCTGATTTATTTTACAAGTCAAAGCCCAAATGATAATATTCCCTATATATTAAGAAATGTATACAACTGATAATTTATAAGAAAATATGAGGACACAATAATATAAACCTCCTTTAAATAAATTCACCAGATACATAAATAATGAAACATACTAAAATAATTACTGAACTACATGTCTATGTAAAATAAAGTTTGTACCATCAAGAGAAGAAAAGTAGGAGGAACCACATTCAACTTTTATTTCAATATTTTAGGCAAATCCCAGAAATTTGGTCAAATTCAAGTATACCAAAACAAACCTTATTTGCAAAAACTATGCCCTAGATTTATTAAAATACCATATGCAACATATAATCTTTACTTCTGAATGGGCCCTAAATAAGACTCCTAAAATGCAGAACTTAATTTGTTTCCAGTCACCCACCTGTAAGAGTGTAAAGGAAGATACTAAAGTCCTGGATCTGTAAAGACTGGTACAAAGAGCAAAAATAAGAGCAAAATACGATACTAAAAAGTTTCTAAGTTTTAACATTTCTGAATTATCTTCAACACATTCACACGAGAAAGTAATCAACGAGATAAAATTCAGCGGGGTGTGTCTTTGAGAAGACACATGAAACACACTTCTATGCGGATTGGGCACCTCATAAGTTAATATTACAATTAAATAATTTCTAGATTCTTTTCTCTTATTTTTGAAGCTTAACTTCTACTTTCTTGCATAGTACACAAAATTTTTATTTTTCCTTCATATTCTCCCTTCCTTGCATAGTACACAAAATTTTTATTTTTCCTTCATATTCTCCCTTCCTTTTTAAATTTTCCCATTGATTATTAGAGAGAGTAGAGAGAGATGTGAGAGAGATACAATGATTGGTTGACTCCTGAACATACCAAGACCAGGGCCAGGATCATTGATTGGTTGACTCCTGAACATACCAAGACCAGGGCCAGGATCATTGCTGCAACCCAGGTATGTGTCCTTGACTGGAAATCAAACCCACAACCCATTGGTGCTCAGGCCAACACTAACAACTGAGCAAGCAATACTGGCCAGGGCTCTTCCTTCCTTTTAAAATTGTCCGCTTATGTTTTCTTGACTGTAAAAATGTTTCCTGGTCACGTGGGAGAAAGGGAAAAGGTCTACCTACCTCTTCCAAACATTTCTCCTACAACCCCATTCCTCTTACAATCCAAACCAGATCTCAAAATCAGATCTGTAGAAGCCATTAGTCTCTTTGGTCTCTTTTGATTACCAGGTAAGAGACTGTGTCTTCAATATAGTCCGTGTCAACCTACCACACAAAAGAGCTCGAATTTAACAGCTCCACTGATAAAAGCCTCATAAAGTTGTTTTTATTAATCTCTTGAAAACTTTAAAAACACTTTGGACTATTCCTGGTTTATTATGATAACTGTCATGCCTACATAAGTTATACCATTTTAAATCTTCCCAAAGACAAAAATCACCCAAGTCTATGGCATAGGTAGTTTTAGAGGAGAGTATTTCAGTTCAATATGAGAGCCACTCAAATATACAAATGGTCTGACTTGTGATCTAGTTAATTTTCCATTATCTTGAAATATTTTAACTGAAGCTAAGTGGTCATACACAAATATTATAACAAATGTTTTTCTACCAGATGGCAAGCTAGATTAGATAACCTCTCAGGTCCCTTTGACTCTGAGATTCATAATTCAAATGCATTTTGTAATAAATGGCTTTTCCCCTCCTCATTTGTATCAAAGGCCTCAACTTAAGCTATAAAGAATTATGTATGGCCACAGGATATTACTATACAATTCTTAGTATCAAGATTAGCAAATCGATAAGACAACTTTCAATAACTGGACAGAGATTTAATAAAAAATTTGTCACAAAAATTTATAAAGCTCTTGGGATGCTTTCTTTGATGTTTATTATATTGGGATTGGGGGATTAGAAGATGGTAGCATTAATCATATATATGTATATATACATATGTATTATGTATATATGTATTTATGCATATATATGATTATACAATAACAGACTCTAAACTTCCTACTGCAATTGTAGACTCAACAAATATATGATTAAAGAAAAAGGGGGGGATAAAGAAAGAAGGGAAGAGAAAAGTTCATCAGTTGCTATCTTACATGTGTAAGGAAGGAAGTTATATATAGCATGCATTGTCTATTTAGTCTAACATATTTAATTTTATTATGATAAAGAGCTTGAAAATTTTACCAGTAGTTGTCAGTTTTCAGGATCTTTTCTAAATGGCTCACTTACCATGACCCCATTAAGACAAAATTGTATGTTCTCTTTAAACCTCATTATACTTTTCTATCTTCCATTATATCACATTTCATACAGAATTTACAATGATTAGATTACCTGTCAGTCTCTTCTACAAAATTGTGAGGTATTGAGAGAGTATCTTTCTATTATCTATATTTCTGACATTTAGCAATATACTGTCTGGCATAGAGAAGGTGATAAATAACATTTGGATGTAGGAATGGATCAATGGATGAATGGTGTAATGAATGGATGAAATGAGGTGAATGAGTGATGGATTTGCTAATACTTACTTAACTATATAACAATATAGTTGGTCCATCAACAAAAGGAATTGATTTAAAATTTACCATGACATTAAAATCTTCATTACAGACTAAAGTAGAATTAGATTATCCATTGTGATATTCACATAGGTATAATAAATTTGTGAGTGCATGCGGAATAGATACAAAGCAGATATCTAAAAATATTTCTAATGCTATCTTAAGAATACATACCTGGCAAAACACAGGTTTATGGATACTGGAAAAAAATTGCAACAGCTCCTCTGAATCTCTGTAGTCAGTAGGGAGTTTATCTATACAAAGGCACTTAGAATGAATGAGCTCTGCGGCCAATAGATTGACATCCATCCATTGTGCAAAGAGAGCTGATGCTCCCAACTGTTTGCCCAATAGCTCCAATCTAGCCTTTGCAGCAAAGTCCTTTTTCATGTATTCCACAAATCCATAGCCTTTGGAATGGCCAGTGACTTCACTGTAGACCAGAAAACATCTCTCAATGTTTCCATACGCACGAACAAGTTCTTCAAACTCTTCTAATGTAAAAGAAGTGGGCAAGTTGGTAATACACAGCAAAGCATCTGTTGGCTGTAGCTGTACTATTAAGTCTTTTCCTCGAAAAGAATATTGATGAAACATCCGAATTGCATTCTGGGCTTGTTCCCCATTCAATAAGGTAACAAATGCTGGAAGATAAAATAAATGAGTTTTCTAAGCCTGTGTTTTCAAACTTTTGTGACTATGACTCACAATAAGAAATACATGTTATATCTGTGACTCAGTACACACATACATATATATTTCTGAAACAAAAGTATCAGGAAGTAATACTATTACCATATGCAAAGCACTCAAATATTTTCATTGTATTCTTTAACACTGACACCCCCACTAAACTAATACCATGACCAGAAACACAAGTTAAAAATATGTACCCTCCCGCCCCAAACCTCTTTCAGAGACTTCAATCACTCTACTATTAAGGACTTTTGAAGTTGTCCAACAGCTCGCTGGTACTTGGTTCATGTTTTACAGCCTTCTTCTGGCTCTCTTTTTCATTTTAGAGAGTTCTTATCTCTATGTATTCAGGTTCAGTAATCTTCTGCAACATCTATTCTGCTGTTAATCCCATCTACTGTATTTTTTTTTTAATCTCCAACATTGTAGTTTTCATCTCTAGGAATCTGACTTGGTATTTTCCAATATCTTCCATATCTCCACTGAACATATTCAATCTTTACTGTAATTTCTTGTACAGATGGGACAATGTTATAAAAACTGTTCTCCATTTTCATTAATTATTTTGTTTAAATTCTAAATCATTTTGATTGATTTTTCTCCTTATTATGGGTTGTATTTTCCTGCTTCTTTGTTATGTTTGGTAACTTTTAATTTCATGCCAGGCACTATAAATGTTACCTAGTTGGGTGCTGGATGTTTTTGTCTTTCTATAAATATTCTTAAGTTTTGTTCTAGGATGTGGTTGAGTTACTAGGAAACAGTTTGATCCTTTCTGGTCTCACTTTTAAATTTTGTTAGGTAAAACCAGAGTTGATTTTCTTGATTCTTGAGATAAGACCCTTCTGAATACTCCTCCTGATGCACCATGAATCGTGAGGTTTGTCAGCCTAGCTGATGGGAATAGCACTATTCCCAGCCCTGTGTGAGCTGTGAAGATTGTTACCACTAATCCCTTTGTCAATATTTAGTAACATTGAAATTGTACATAACATATGACCCAGTAATTTACTTGTGGAGAAATAGTTACAATGTATATTAGAAGACAAAAATAAGGATATTCATTGCAGCATATTTGAAATGCTGGAAAGTTAAAGCTTCTAAATGCCTACCAGCAATGAACAGCTTTATCAATGGTGATAAATTCACAAGATAGAATAATATACAGTAGTTTAAATGAATGAACTAGAGCTATATATATCAACATGGAAAGATCTGAAACTAAGGTTGAGTTAAAAAAAAAAGCAAGTAACTAAATGAAACATGTATAATACCATTTATGTAAAGTTTTTAAAAACACCGAGAACAACACTATTAATTATACATACAATAAAATTACAGGTATTAGTCGTGGTATAATGGTGACAAATAGCTCCACAATCTCAATGGCTTAACAAAATAAAAGGGATTTTGTTGTTGATGCCTGCATATCCCAGGAAGGAAGGAAGGAAGGAAGGAAGGAAGGAAGGAAGGAAGGAAGGAAGGAAGGAAGAAAGGAAGGAAGGTTGGTTGGTTTGCTCCTCACAGTCACCCTGGGAGCTAAGCTGGAAGAAGTGCTGCAATCTTCCTCAACCTCTTACAGGGAGAGGGTGAGCAGTGAACCACAGGCTGGTCTAACACCTTCCACCTACAAGGGATACGGTTATTTCCATTCTCACTTCATTCACCAAAGAGCAAATCACATGTCCACTTTCTAACCTCAAAGAGGGACAGAGAACTACCTCACCTCACGCCCAGAAGAAAAAGGGTAAGAATCTGTGAACAGCTCTGACTGCCATGATATAACAGCCAAGTGTAGAAAGTAGGTACCAAATTCATAAATGCTTCTCCCCCAGGGAAGAAGGGAGGGAAGACAAGTAGATACTGGATTTCATTTTTATCTATAATGTTCCTATTTTCAAATTTTTAAAGTCAGAAAAAAATGCAGAATTCTGACCATACTACCAGAGATTTTTATTCAATAGATCTACACTAGGGTTCCAATATATATATATTAACATTTAAAAAAATATTTTTATAAACATTTGCTAATTTGGGAATGGATGTGTACATAGTAAACATTTGCTAATTTGGGAATGGATGTGTACATAGTGGTTATATCATTCTCCATAATTTCCCTTACTGTTCATCAACTAAAAAAAGAGATGTTTTAGACATTTACATATCATATAATGGGACTAATCTAGTATAGTATTTTAATATTACAGATATAAAACTAATACCCAGAAAAGTTAAGCAAATATCCCAATTTGCCCAGCTAAAGTCAAATCATACAGTTTATTCAACAAGTCTAGTTTAATAAATTATTAAAACTGAAGAATACAAAGCCTATAAGGAATATTCATTATAACATTAAAACCTGTAACATTAGCCCTAGCTGGTTTGGCTCAATGGATAGAGCATCGGTCTGCAGACTTTAGGGTCCCAGGTTCAAGTCCGGTCAAGGGCACATGCCTCAATTGCAGGCTCGATCCCCAATAGGGGCGTGCAGGAGGAAGCTGATCAACGATTCTCACTCATCATTGATGTTTCTATCTATCTCTCTCCCTCTTCCTTCCTCTCTGAAATTAATAAAAACATATTAAAACAAACAAAAAAACTATAACATTAGAACAGTCGTCATAAGGCTCTAGTAACTTCATATTAATTTATGTGATTAAAAATTAGGATACTAATATTATCTTCAGAAAATAAATTTTAATTGTAACATTTATATGACTTAATACTTAAGAATTTCAGTGATTAACTTAAGAATGAAAAGACACTACACATTTTTATTTTATAAGGACTATATGTATAACCAAAACGAAATTAAATGCTTAGAACTGAAATCTTACCTGTTCGCTTATTTCTGTCCACATAACAATACTTTAACTCATAGTCTTGTAATAAATCGTGAACTTCCTAAAAGAGACATGAATGCAATTAATACACAAATGCAGTTAGTAGATAATCCAGCTGTATTAGCCTACCACCATTACTACTACCCTCTCGCATGTAAAACATCTTCTGTGAATCTCCATTACTTATTTAAATTAAAGGCTCATCAGACACAGCCTTTACCATCAACCTACCTCTCCAAATATATCCCCAATACACCCCCCCACACTCCCATATTCCTGCTCAAAGGACTGTTCACTGCCTCATGAGGATACCATGCACCGTCCTTACTCTGAATGTCTGTTATGCTGACACCTTGACCTAGCATGGGGCAAACATCGCACTAAGGCTCCCGACCTTTACCTGAAATCACATGTACCCTTTGAAATCCCATCTCAAATGTTCTTGCAAGAATCTTTTCCCAATTCTTTTCCACAGGACATGACCTCTCCCACATCTAAACTAACAATGGTCATACTTTACTTATGCCTCTCTTATAGAAAAAATATTAAAACGTTTCTATTTCTATACTACATGCTAAATTTTTAACAAGTAATAAACCTGTAGATACTTGTAATCCCTGCATGGAGAATAAATAAACGTAGACTGCAAACCTAACTTACAGATCCCTGGCTATGAAAACAAAGAAGGAAATTCATAGCATCATACGCCTAGTTCAAGAAACAAGAAAAATGTCAAGTAAACAGCCTAACTTTACACTTAAAGGAACTTGAAAAAGAACAACAAGCAAAGTACAAAGTGAGAAGGAAGGAAGGAAATAATAATGATCAGAGCAGAGATAAACAAAATAAAGCCTTTAAAAAAAATACAAAAGATCAAAGGAACCCTGAGCTGGTTCTTTGAAAAGATAAAAAAGACTGACAAACCTTTAACCAGACCCATCAAGAAAAAGAGAGGACCCAAATAATAAAATCAGAAATGAAAGAGGAGAAGTAACAACTGGCACCAAAGAAATACAAAGGATCATAAGAACATATTACAAACAACTATGTGCCCAAAAATTGGACAATCTGGAAGAAATGGATAAATTCATAGAAACATATGACTTCCAAAACTGAATCAAGAAGAAACAGAAAATCTGAACAGACTGATTACAACTAATGAAATTGAAGCAGTAATAAAATAAAATAAAAACCTCCTAGCAAACCAAAGTCCTGAACCGAATGGTTTCACAGGTGAATTGTACCAAACATTCAAAGAAGAACTAACACCTATCCTTCTCAAACTATTCTAAATAGTTTTAAGATGGAAGACTTCTAAGCTCATTTTATGGGCCAGTATTTTCCTGATTATAAAACCAGGTAAAGAAAGAAATTGATAGCCCAGTATCCCTGATGACCTCAGCAAAAATCCTCAACAAAATATGAGTGAACAGAGTCCAGCAATACATTAAAAAGTTCATACATCATAATCAAGTGGAATCTATTCCTGGGATGCAAGGTTGGTAAAATACCCACAAATAAATTAACATTATATACCACATTAACAAAATGAAAGATAAAAATAATATGATCATATCAACAGATGCAGAAAAAGCATTTGACAAAATCCAGCATCCTTTCATGATAAAAATACTCTCAGCAAAGTGGGACTAAAAGGAACATACCTCAACATAATAAAGGCCATATATGTCAAACCCACAACCAACATCATAGATCAATGAATGGGCAGAAAAAAAAGTATTTCCCTGAAGGTCAGGAACAAGACAGGGATATCCACTATTACCACTCTTATTCAACATAGTACTGGAAGTCCTAGCTACAGCAATCAGACAAGAAGTAGAAATAGGAGGGATCCAAACCAGAAAAAAAAAGAAGTAAACCTGTCAATATGTGCATGACTTAGTACTGTATATAGAGAACCCTAAAGATTCCAGCAAAAAACTACTGGATCTGATAAATGAATTCAGTAAACTAGCACGACACAAGATCAATATTCAGAAAGCAGGTGTATTTCTATACACCAAGAATGAACTATCCAAAAGGGAAACTAAAAAAAACTATCTCAGTTACAACTGCATGTACTCGGAAAACTATAAGATACTGAAGAAGGAAACCGAAAGGGGTGCAAATAAATGAAAGCATATACCATGTTCATATACAGGAAAAATTAACATGGTTAAAATGTCCATACTTTCCAAATCAATCTTTACATTCAATGCAATTCCTAGCAAAATACCAATGGCGTTATTTCACAGAACTAGAAAAAATAATCTAAAAATGTATATGGAACTACAAAAGACCCCAAATAGCCTCAGCAACATTGAAAAAGAAGACCAAAGTTGGAGGTATCATGCTACCTGATTTCAAACTATAATAATGAGGCTATATTAATCAAAATAGCATAGTACTGGCATAAAAACAGACATATAGATAGATGGAACAGAACACACAGCCCAGAAATAAACCCATGCCTTTATGTTCAATTAATATTTGACAAAGGAGGCAAGAACATGTAAAGATAGTCTTCAATAATGGTGTTTGGAAAATTGGACAGATACAGGCAAAAAAAATGAAACTAGACCACCTTCTTACACCATACATAAGAATAAACTCAAAAGATTGAAATGTAAGATTCAAAACCATAAAACTGCAAGAAGAAAACATTGGCAGTAAAATATCTGACATTTTTTGTAGCAATATTTTTTTCTGATACATCTTGAGTAAGAGAAGCAAGAGAGAAAATAGACAGATGGGACTACATCAAACTAAAAAGTTTTTGCACTTTTTTGCAAAGGAAACCATCAACAAAGAGAAAAGACAATCTACTGTATGGGGGAGGATATTCCCAATCAAACGACGGATAACAGGTTAATATCCAAAATTTATAAAGAACTCATATAACTTTACACTAGAAAAACCCAATTAAAAAGTGGGCAGAAGACCTGAAGAGACACTCTCCAAGGGAGATATACAGATGGCCAACAGCCATATGAAAAGTTGCTCAAAGTCACTGATCATCAGAGAAATGCAAATCAAAACCACAATGAGAATATCACCTCACACCTCCATCAAGAAATCAACAAACAACAAGTGTTGGTGTGGATACAGAGAAAAGGGAACCCTTGTGCACTGTTGGTGGGAACGCAGATTGGTTCACCGACTATGGAAAACAATTTGGAGGTTCCTCAAAAAATTAAAAATTGCCTTATGACCCAGCAATTTCACTTCTGGGAATATATCCTAAGAAACCTGAAACACTAATTCGTAAGATTTATGCACCCCCATGTTTATTGCAGCATTAAGTGGATAAAAATGCTGTGGTACATATACCTATGGAATACTATTTGGCCATAAAGGAGAATTAAATCTTATCTTTTACAAAGGCATGAATGGACCTAGAAGGTATTACGTTCAGTGAAATAAGTCAGAGAAAGACAAATACATGATTTCACTTATATGTGGAATCTAAAGAACAAAATAAATGAACAAACAAAATGGAATCAGATTCATAGATACAGAGAACAAACTTATGGTTGACAGAAAGGAAGGGGTTGGGAAACTGGGTGAAAAAACTTGAAGGGATTAAGAAATACAAATTAGTTGTTACAGAAGTCACACAGATGTAGATTACAGCATAGGGAATACAGTCAATAATCTATAATAATAAAAGCGTAATATGCTAATTAGACCAGATGACCTTCCAGAAGCCGGGGCTGCGAGGGAAGCTGGTGGCCGGCAGCCGGGGGAAGGCCTACTCTTGCACCAATTTTGTGCACCAGGCCTCTAGTATTGTAATAAGTATGTATGGGGTCAGATGGGTTCTTGAAATATCAGGGGACCATTCTGTAAAGTACATGAATTGTCTAACCACTATGTTGTACATCTGAAACTGACACAGAACAATCGTGAATAGAAACTGTAATTTAAAAATGACACATTCTATATTCTTCATTAAGAAAAGGTATCTCTAGAGCTTCAGTGGCGCAATCGGTTAGCGCGCGGTACTTATAAGAAACGGTATCTCTCTCCATAGCACAACATATACATCTTGCCAATCGGCTAATTCAATACTTTATGGAGACCGTGACATGGTTTTGTTTGAAGGGATCCAGTGTATGCTTTTAGTTGCACAGACTCTAATCTCTCATTTCACTAGTTAACAGCTGTCAAATGCCAGATAAAGAAAACATGATACGGCTCTTCACATCACCAAGTACCCGTAAACAAGTGGCATGCTGTGTTCCTAATTCATCTGAGAGATTTACCTGAGGAAGATCTCAAGTATTCAAAGATGCATTTCACAACTTAGAAATTTTATTTTTAAAATACCTATATTTCAATTCATGGCTTTTATATGACTCAGATGTGGGATGTTGATTTTGCCAACTTGGAAACCTTACAAAGCTTCCTGCAAATAAACTAAAACGATTATTTTTCTCCATGCCCTGATTATTTTGACCCAGGCAAAAGTGGGTCACACCTCAATTTGATCCCCGGAAAGGTGGCCAAAAGAAAAACTTAAAACCTGAAAGAGAGTCCTAACAACCATTTGCCAAAATTCTACCATGCTCCACAACACAAAACCAAAAGGACTAAAATTATCATCTCCCTCTACTAATCCAGCTTTATGACATTTCTATTAACTTAAAGCAAATTTTAAGGAACAAAGTAGCCCCTTTAATGAAAATGCTTTGCCCTCTGACCGGCAATATCACTTACAATTTTCTTACAGTAAGATGAATTCACCAAAATTGCAAGTATTAGGTAGCTTTAGTAACCTATTTCCAGACCAGATTCACTATCACTCCCTGGGATTAAATGTGGAATTTTGCACATATGAAAAGTCTCCTGGGCAGAGGACCAATAGCTTTCAAAGCAGTTAGTCAATGACTCCCAAAAGTTAAACAACTAATGTTCCAGCTGGTCTGGACTTCTTCCTGAATGAAACCCAGCCATAGTTTTAAACCTGAATCACATTGTCTTCTAAGCCCTTCACAGAACTACTTTCATGAAAGCATTATTTTTCTTTGTAAGGAAGGGTTTCATAGATTAAAATACTCT